AAATTACTTCTGAATTTACTTTGAAATTTAATTGAGGCTCAAAAAGAATAAAATAGACAACAATCTCTGATTGTCTCTCATTTGGGAAATTCATCAGCAAGTCTTATTGGTAAAAAGAAAAATAAACTTGCACTCACATAGGATTTACTTTTTAAAATGAAGAATTTTAACTTTTTTAATTAAACAGAAATTTGGAATAAGACAGAAAAATGTATAACAATAACAACTCGTGGATTACAGTTCTAACAATATTATAACTACTACTATGTTACTGCTAATATTAATAATAATGATAACAACAAAACTGGAAGAACAAGAAATAGGGCATGGAAAGACTATAAACTAAAACATACCCCAGAAATTATGATCCTGAGATCCACATCCATGTTAGAATTAAGTTGGTATTTGTACAAACTGCTTTTTAGCTGTGTAAAACAAAGCAGAAACCAATAATTCGTTTTCAGATGATGTATTGAACAGTGCTCTGTGAGATTTTTCAAAGATTTGGAAAATATTTTGTATTTTAGCTCTACTTCAAACAATCTGCTGTGTTCCTTCATGACCGGTTCGTGTCTAAAGGTCAAACACCTTCGGACTTCACTGAGAATAGCTTTGTAAAACCAAATGAAAAACACAGAGGCATCTTTATTGTCATTTTATTGGTAATGAGAGACCAGTCCTTTGGATAAATGTGGGAATCTCCCCTTAAAGAAGACACTTTGACCAAGAGAGCATTACCAAACTGTCTAATTCCAGCAAAGTATTTTATCTTGTCTTCTTTCATCATGGCCACCACCTGCACACAACAACGACAGTCTTGTAAATTTTAACACTGCCTCGGGATTTTTATGCATCATTCGAATGTGTGAACATTTTTCACAAAAAGCCAGTGGCTCTTTGAAGAGAGTTGAATGACATTATTCATTGACTTTTCAGAGAAAAAGGCCTATGCCTTGAAACAGTTTGCACTTTCCTAGAAACAGTCATCATGAGGGCGTCATGTTGAAACTTTAAACACAAAATGACAGTAAATACATGCAAAATTAACTGTGAAATGTACCACTTGTTGGTTTGTCAACCACTGGAAAGAATCAGCTGAACTAAAAATGATTTAAGAAATGATTAAATAAAATATTGTGGAAGTTCACACACATAGTGCCTAATATAGGTCTAAAGTACCAATATTCTATTGAAAAAAATATTTTTTTTCTAAAAACAATTATCGCTTATGTAAATAGAGAGGTGTTGAGAACAGGGGGAAAAAATCCACTCTATAAATAAATGTAATCAAAAGCTTCTATTATAATCACCATTCTGTAAATAATGCTCATTGTACACATCGCTCTTGATGAACTCAAAATCTTTAAGTTATCATTCTGGAAGTTAATTGTGATTGCATTTGTTTTTTGTTGTATTTATTGCAATAGGGAGATCTGGACTGTGCTATGAACAAAGCTGTGCTGTATGGAAGGAAGAGGAAGTCATAATTCTGGCTGACTATGAACACGCTGTTCCCTCCAAATAAAGCAGTCACACTCTGCCCTAATTTAGTTATAATTAAAATCAAGTGCCACATCAGAACCACCATTAGGTTCACATGAAGAAGAAAACTTATGCAAGTTTTCATAATGCAGTACTTGTGTCACTGATTTGACATAAAGCAGTCAGGATGGGGTTAAAAGTTTAAAGATTTATCAAAAACCCAGCAATCTCTCATGTGTATGTAATATAAAATAAAGATTTTTTACAGTTTTGTGACCAAATGTGATCTAAAATTAAGGATTAATTGTCGCCAGAGTTGAACAATGTTTAGTACTTGCATATTGTTACTCTGGATAAGGACGCTGCTATCCTGTTTGCTCTCCTCTGGGTTAGAGAGGTCTAAAAAAAATCCAATGATGACCCATTTTAAGATTCCAAGATTACTGGCAGACTTATCTTTAGTCAAAATGTCCCGGTATTTGAAAGCTTCAATGGCGCCATGAAGTCGACAAAGCTTTCAGGGGCTTTTGGAGGAGAAACAGATCCACTGGATCACAAATAGTCCAGCGGGCATGAAGTGGTTTTCCACAAATCATCCTTTGTTTTAAGTTTTTATTCCTAACTTCTCAATCTGCCTCTCATTTGATTAAACCATATGGCTACACTTCACATCGCAGTGTTTTTAGAAAAATCAAACATTTACATTTGTGATGGTAGGAGAAGAAATACCTGTGCAGGCATGGAGACAAGGTCTAATAGTTATTATGACCCAACATGCAACTTTTTGTCTCAGTTTCTTAGTTATTTATTCCAACCTTGCCATCCCACTCTATGGTAGCTGAAGAAGAAAAGCCTTTAGATGATATGTAAGCATGTGAAGACAATGTTCTGGCTTCATAGCACCCAAAGAAATGACAGTTTTGGCGTTTGTGGTGAATTATATGTGTATTTCTTCTCAAACACGACGTCGAGAAGAAAACTTGTTCCAAAAGATTCAGGACGAAGGCAAAGATTCACATTCAAACAGGTCAGTGACTCTCGACGTACAACCAGAACTAATATGAATGAATTCATATTGAAGTAGTTCACGTGTTAAAATGACATGGGCAAAGAATCAGAGCAAGTCTTGAAATCAGGCACCAACCATCTCCAAGTTTTTAAACTGGAACTACTTCACAGATGGTAATTATCAAAATGTCCAGCAGACATGCAAAGCTGGTAGAAATATCCCAAAGAATGGCAATCCTGTTTGCAATGAAAGGTGGCTTCACAAAGCATTGTCCATGCCCTGCAACATAAAGCATATAAAGACTCCTTGGAGTAAATGAGGCTTCGTTTGAATAAATAACAACGCATTTTTAATTGAAATTTTTTATTACAAAAACAATAAGAGTAGAAAAGTCTACTCTCTTTTTTGTAATAGTGTCACACTGACCATTTCACACATAAAATAGGTAAAACTGAAGCGTTCATCAGAAATATTTCACACCCAGAGACACATATTTGCAGTTTTACATATTATTTTAAAAAATCTTTAGAGGACCTGAAATGGCTATGATTGTTGTACAATCATACAAAAACAATAAATCCTGAAAAACTAATGACTGACTTGTCATTTCTCTTAAAATACAATTAATCATCTCCTTTCCAAGCCTTTAAATATAGAGAATGGATCAGTCTTGGATCTCCTCTAAGTTGAGACAGAAAGGCATCCCTCAGCTACAAAATGAACTAAGGTTTTGCTTAGTCTATTTACACAGAAAGCTTAGCTACATACATATATATACATATATATATATATATTTTCCAGTTAGTCTAATGAATATTTTCTATTAACATGTGTTTATTTTAGGAACAGGTGTAAGAAAAATAAAGAGAACAAATAGAGAACAAATAAGATAAGATGGAGGTTTTGTTGTGTTAAAAACTTTGCTGAGCCGTTTCGATTTCATTGGCTACAGTGATGCACCAGAAGCTGTAAATACAGTGCTGCGCCTTATTCAAGTGATGTAAACCTAAAACTTAAATTGAAACTTTTGAAACGTTAAGTGAAACTATAGAACAAAAAGTACATAAAATGAAGAAAATAATCACAGCTTAACATTGAATATTTCACTCTGAGGCCAATATAATAATAATAATAATAATAATAATAATAATAATAATAATAATAATAATAATAATAATAATAATAATAATAATAATAATAATAATAATAATAATAATAATCTTCAGAGTCTTTGTAGTTTTTCTGGGAATCAGAAATACAACCAACCAAACTTTGATTGAGCCTCCTTTCATAAACGTCTTATGCAACGAGCCTCTGGCTTTGGGCTGTTCATGTGATTTTTTATTTTTATTTTTCATGTCTGCGTCTCATTCGCACTTTTATTTTTGGACAGAGTTGTTGACTGCAAGCTTTGTCTAAGGAAACAAGATTTCTGGAGCGGAAGGATCGTTTCAACGAGGCGCATTTTGAGAAGCGGTTTAATCCGGTAACTTTATTGGAACCGCGATTTACTGAATCATTACAGGGACTAAACTTTGTCTTTTCCGGGGGGAAAGAACAAGTTTTTCTTTATTTATTTGTTTTGTTATGTAAGTCACAAAGCATCCCTTACTATTCTTTTTTTTTTTTTTTTTTAAGATTAATCTATTTATGGATATTGTACATTAATTAACATTTTGAACAACACAAATGTAAATTAATTATAGACTAGGTCAATTTCTATTGTTTGATCATATTTTTTGTTATTATTATTATTATTATTATTATTATTATTATTATTATTATTATTGAGTTAATTAATAATTATAGTAAAATACCACATGCTTTATGTTTCTCCTCCCTCCATTTTTACCTCCAAACAAATCCTTTGGCACCATGTGCTTCAGCTCTTGCAGGTCAATATTTGTTTTATTTTAGTTGGTTTGTGACTTATGGAAATGAATAATCATAGAGGTAACTCTGCTACATGTTAGTCCAACAACGCTCAGCGTTCAGGCCTCTTACAAAATACTGCAGATTAAGATCAGTCGGTGGAGATTTCTTTCTTTCATAAAAAATGTGAAATCTAATATTACATTTTCTTGCAGTATGCAGAAAGTCAGTCCAAATATTTGACTGTCAAACGAATTGTTGACACAAATGATCACAGAAAATATTTTTGTTTCTCGACCAAATTCTAGGCAGCTGTCAAATATTTCACTGGACTGTGATATTTAATAATGTAAAGTTAATTTCGTTTGTTTTTTTTTTGTTGTTGTTGTTTTTTTAAAATCCACGTTCAGATACTTTTTTTAAAAAAACAACCTGTCGAGTCTAATGAGCTCTTGACTCATCTGACAGCTTCCTCTTGTCAAAGAAAAGGCCCTGAAAGCATCGGGCACTGAGTGTCCTGCAGTGACGCGGAGAAATGTCCAAATGAAACGAACTAATCCCAACTCCATGCTGGCGTGAGGAAACGTCTTAATCAGATTCCTCCTTCATCTTGTAAGTGCTGCGTGCGGCTCGAGGACCTAATCCGCCCAATAAAACCCTCACAGAGAAACTGTTCTTCGGATGAAAGGCCGCACGTTGACCTAATTTGCCTCGATTTACCCGTGACGCAGCGCGGGCTGTTACATGCCGAAGCACCAGGAGCACAGGACCAGCTCCTGCAGGGTCTTGCGCAGCTCCTGGCTCCTGTAGGCGTAGATGAGCGGGTCGATGAGGGAGTTGCAGATGATCAGGATGAGGAAGAGGTTGAAGTTCCGGAAGAAGCAGTTGCAGAAGGGGCTGGTGGGGCAGGCGAGGATGAGGATGAGGTGGAGGAAGAAGGGCCCCCAGCACAGGATGAAGACGCCGAGCAGGATGGTGAGGGTGATCGCGCCCTTCATGCTGGTGGACTGGCGCCTGCCTTTGTGAAACGCGGTGATGCGCCGCGAGTGCACGTGGGCCAGCACGAACATGTGCAGGTAGAGCGCCGCGTTGAACACCAGGGTGATGCAGAAGAAGGTGACCAAGCACACGATGACGGCGTTGTCGGTGTGGTACACGATGAAGAGGATGCTGGAGGTGAAGCTGGCCAGCCACACCACCGCGATGATGCCGACGGCGCGCTGCGTGGTCATGATGCTGTGGTAGCGCAGCGCGTAGAAGATGGTGATGTAGCGGTCCGCAGCGATGGTGCACAGGAAGGAGAGCGAGGACACCACGGAGCTGCAGATCATCACGTCGATGACGTTGTCCAGGTGGCGCAGCATGCCCGGGTGCACGTCCAGGAGGCCGTGGTCGTTCAGGAGCATGAAGATGGTCTCCACCACGTTGCTGACGCTCACCAGCATGTCGGACACGGCCAGGCAGCAGATGAAGTAGTACATGGGCGAGTGCAGGTTGCGGTTCCTGATGATCGCCAGGATCACCAGGATGTTCTCCACCAGGCTGATGATGCCCAGCGCCAGGAAAAGCTCCTGCGGGATGCGGATCTGGACGCAGCTCGGAACGCTCCGCTCGCCGAGCGTGGAGTTGGTTTCGTTCTCGTCCATGATTTCAGTCAGCGGGTTGAACTCCACGTGGAGGTAGCGCAATGAGCTGTTGTTGAAATCCATGTCGGAATGCGGAGTAATGATGACGGACAGATCTCAGCTTACCTGGAGCAACAGGGGGAGACTATAGGTCTCATCAGTCCGTGGGAAGATGATTGCGCATCGGCCGTTTCAAATGTGTCCCGTGACAATCAGGCAACTCGCAAACCGCTTGGAAGCTGGTCCCAACAAGGCTGAGTTTGTCCAGACGACCGTAAGACCCAGGGACTTCTCAGCTGTGAAGGCAAAGTCAGGAGAGACGGCGCGTTTGTCCATTTGAAAAATCCGTCTCCTCTTCCAAATTTCTCCTCCACAGTCATCGAAGCAACTCGACTTGGACAGACATCCACGAATTATCCACGAACGCATTTCTCTTGTCCGCCATGATTCTCGGTCTTTGCGCGTCTGATCCGCTGGAACCATGCGATCCGTTCTGGACCACACAGTGAAGGAGGAAAACTGGAGACGTCTGTTCGAGATGGAGAGCGAGCTGCTTGAGTCATTTTGGAAATAATCCTGAGTGACTTTACCAAACTCCTCCTCTCATAAGGACGTCAGCTGGAAGTATGGTCCTGTCTCAGAGTTTGGACTCAGTGTTCAGTGTTATGGGGAAATGTTAATGTCTTAACAAGGACATTAACAAGAAAGATTCTTAAAATAAAAATAAAAACACACACACAAACATGCAGTTCTGAATTTTACTCTCAACAAGAGATTATGACAGAAGACTTGAGAGCTGAAAGGTAAAAGCTTTTATTGTCCTTCCAAAAGATTTTACAAGAATCCAGAGCAAAATTGTTTTGTTTATGAAGCTTTGTTAGATGTTCTGTTGTTTACAGCTGCATCCTTAAAATTACATGAACGGATCTGAGGTCGTGAGGTCAAATTCCTCTAGATAGTGGTTATGTAAAAGAAAAAAGGCTAAAAATAAACACACTTACTTGATAGCAGTAGACAAATGGAATAGATTTGTAGGATTTCTGTGCACTCAAGTGTGTTTTAGTCAATTTTAAAAAATTTACTTTGCCAAATTACATCAATGTGAAAAGATGTCCAGTATTATTTCTTTCATGAAGACAGAAATTTATGAATAGTTTTTAATAGATTGCTAATGTCTTTTATCAATACATCCTGTTGCAACAAACGTTCATGATCTTGATGAAGCCCAGTGGGTGATCAAGGGAATGAGACACAGCTGGGAACAGCTGGGGACAACACAGAGACTCAACTGACACAGAATCCTAAATAAACACAGAAAAACTCACATCTTTACAATAACACCTAGTGCAAATACAAAGGACAGTTTCTCAAAAAACACTTGAGCATCACATCATACCAATTAAAAAAGGAAGGGGGGTTTTGACACAGAAATGCTGAGTCATGTTATTGCCAACACAATGTAAGGGACTGTCGTCCAGCAGACAGCCGTCAATATTCTCCAGAAAGTTTATGCCTAGAAAGGCCGGCTGTTCTCACACTGATCTACTTACGCTTATCAATGGAGAATTTAGTGGAAGGAAAAAGTGAGCACATGCCCACACAAATAAAGCTCTAAATATAATTTGCAATAATTATGGTATCACTGCGCTTTACGGCCCAACAGTATTTTGTGTATTTGATCAAAACGGGGATTTCACTTTTTCACTGAAATGAATCTCAAATTGGGACTCTCAAAAATTGCATGAATTTTATTTCACCTTTCACACACTCCCAAGTGTTTGTATAAGCCTTTCAATAGAAAAATCACATAAAATGGTCTCCCGTCCTCAGCCATAGCTCCAGATGGACTTCAACAATGACATCCAACCACACCATGTGGCTTACTGAGCCACAAAGCAGCCGCAGTAGCAGCTCATGCTGCTGGCATGCACTGCAGCGGCTTGCGTGCATCCACAGTCTGTTAAAATGTTAACATGTAAAACGTAGGAGGGAAAATGAGAAAAGTACGCTCAAAACTCATGAGCTAGAAGTGATCACTCCTCTGCACTGGGTTATTTTCTTGTGCAGGAGGTTTGACAGGCACACTATGATAAGCAGAGCATGAGGCAAAGTCATGATTCAGACAAATTAAGTTATATTTAGGCTCTCTGCTCCCTATCAGAAATGACAACATTTTCCTCCAGAGATAAACATCTGTATAAACAGCCTGACCGGACCGAAACAAATAGTGAACAAAAGCAGCGATAAATAAGCATAATTTATTGTTGTGGTGCTGGGAGGAGCAGGGTTCTGCTCTCAGAGTTTAGCTGCTGCAGAGAAAGCCTTCGATGGGAAAACACCGAGCATCTCAGCAGAGAGAAGAGGAGGATATTCTGTTTAGCAATCAGTTTAACAAATATATCTGCACTTTCACAGACTTGTGTTTGACCTAATGGACCTCGTCCACTGAACGGGCCGATGGAATAAGATGGAAAAAATCAAATGCTTGTAAATTGACCCAGATATAAATGTTACTCTGACAAACTGACATTGTGGCAGAAGCAGAGCTTAAATAAGATGTAAATAAATGGGGGGAGAAAAGTCAAGCACAAGAAGGTTTCAGCAGAATTTCTCTTCTTTTCTGACTTTTCTCCAAGTTATGTTTTTTAAACTTTCGCTTTGGTGCATGACCACCTCCAATTGAAATTTCTCCTAGCTTAGCTTATGTATTGAAGCCAGTATGTTGTAAAAGTCAAGGACTGTATGGCAGCTAATTTGGGATTAGAAGTCCCTCTGTCTCTCCGTCCACCTGCATGCTTCACTGTACAGATGGTGTGTTCAGGATGAGTTTCCCAACTCACATTGCAATTTGCTTGTCATGCCAGAAAGTCAGAAAACCTTTTTTTTTTTTTAAACATTTGCTGTGAACTGCAATCAGGACTTCCAACAACTTCTAGACCAAAGAACCTGCACAGAACTGTGCTTTTATTATATAAAACTGATTTTATCCATCAATTTGTGTTCATATTCATCTAAATTCAAGTGAAACAATGTTGTTTTTTGTTGTATTACCTTAACATCCTAATCATAACTGACTGATTTGATTAAATAAACAAGCATTTTATTGAATAGAAAATTCCATGTTTGGAAATTGAAGGATGTCGTTTGCAGCCCCATGACAACGATGGTTGAACGAAAAGATAAAAAAAAGTTCTTTTCCCATTAGTTTTATTCTAGTTTTAATGCATATTTTGAACCAAACTACATAGAAAACTTCAAACAAAAACAATTCTACCAAAAATGAATTTATTGATATACATGTTGATATTGTATTGTCCTCATACAGATGCAGCATCAGCTCTTCCTCACAGCACAATCTTCTTTTGCACTGTTTTTGAATAAATTTTTGGTGCATGTTTCAATAAATGTTTCTTCATTTATGCTTCTTTTATTATTAATCTGTGTAATTAACGAGAAATAAAACTATAACAAGTGACAGGTGGACTTGATTATTTAAAAAAAACAGAATAAATATTTAAAGCATGGAAATCAATGAATGTTCCACAATCGATATTAACATTTTTTGTGCTTCATATCTTGAATGAATTGCTTTTGAATTAGATTTTGAAGCTGTTATGCATAACCGTAGTTGAATTGTTCTCCCAATAATAAAAGATCTTCATTTTGTCTGCAAACAAGAATGATCTAACAAAGAGAAAAGATGCATGTTATTTGTCATTGGTAGATTAGTGAAACTCAGACATAATAATTTACTTCCATTTTTTTTCTGGGGTTGCAGGAAAGTTCCCCTCGTTCAAACAAATTGAAATTTTCTTCTCTGGACACATTTTTAAAAAATCACAATTAAGATGTCCAAGTCCAACTGCTCATTAAGAAGATGTCGACTGTTTTTATTTCAACTCTTTGCATCCAACACTGGTTCGAGCGCTGCTCCGTCAGTCCCATTCGTCCTCGTCCCTGTAGGGGTTGTCCTCTCTGGGCGGCTCCTGGAAGCGGATGTTTGCCAGCATGTCCCTCATGGCCACCATCAGGCGGTTCACCTCCTGGTTCAGCTCCTGGCCGGCTCGCGCTACTTCCATGTCATCCTCTTGTCTCAGTTCGCCCTAAAAATGAGGGGACAAAAAGAAATTTATAATTGAACTGGGGAGCAGATCGATTATTCTCTACTGTTGAGATCAGGTGGGTTTTGTAGCAAAAAAGATCTTAATTGTTTCCTATCTAACATGATGCATCTCCATGTACAGAGCATTCAGACTTATATATATATATCCCTTTACTTTATTGCTTTTATCCATATTATATCTCTTCCTCTCTTTAAGTAGATAATAATATCAGGAAGGATGCAGATGGAGACATGCAGAGGGCACGTCTGTTTACTCATGTACAGCTCTGACCCCAGGATGTTAATCTTTACAGTGTTTAGCAAAACTATTTCTACACCTTTAACATTTTTAGCAGAAAACAAACACGGCTCATCGTCCTGAACACACCGCTCCTATGATAAAACATGGTGGTGGCCGCATCCTGCAGTGGAACAAGATATTTTTCTTCAAATAGGCAAAAGTAAGACTCTACAAAGTTATTGACTAAGGCTTTTAAATAAATTTGCACAACACAATTTTTTATTTTGTAAAAAAAAACAAATAAAAGGCAAACCAGGTATAGCTCAAATACTTTGAGTTTTGTCAAGTTTAGTGGATACTTTTGCAAAGCAGTATTCATGTCTCTATGGTTGGGGTTTTTTTATGTTACAAAAACGCATTAGATTACAAGGACATTGATGAGATAGCGAAAGTGAGTAAGACTTAAGAACCCTTGAATACACATGCGTCTCTGCTTAACGTCGTTTAAAGTCGTTCTGCTGCTCGCGAATCACAAGCAGCATCCTGTAGCAGCACTCTGCAGCCTTTTGGTTCCAACCAGTGCACACATTATAAGAACATTACTCTCCAGGGGATCCATCCATTCACTATAAATGCCAAATGGCCCGTCCTTGTGTAGCATTAGTCATTCAGCCACTCGGTCGCACGCTGTGGCAGTCTGACAGCAGTGAGGCTGCCTGCCACGCACCGCTGCTGCAGCCGACTTGACTCTGCATCAAATCACTTTGTTCCACAATCTTCTATTAGCCCTGACAGTTTTCAGTGGTTATGGGTTTGTGAGCTGGACCACAGGCACAATGCTGAAGGTGTGACTTCAACCCTTCTTTCCTGTTGGGACCGTTCAGTTGGCCCCAAGAATGAATAAACACATGTAGATCAATGAACAACATGATCGGAAAGGGGCTTTTTATTTGGAGATGATCTCATCCCCATTCTAATTTTGACAGAAGAACAAAAGGAGAAACGGCCTCATAGCAAACAAAAAGAAGATCAAGATCCCAAGTATTTTGTATTTTTGTTAATGATTGATGCCAGGAGCCTTTCTGGCCTGAGAACAATTTGGGATCCTTCAGGAATAAGCTGGAAGCAGTCGTTGGCCACAGAGATGTATGGATTATTCTTTTGGACCCGCCACATCTGCGACCCGACTTCATGCGAGCCAAAGAGTGGTTGATGTATGGAAAGATGGCAGGTTGGTGCATGACCTTCATGGTTCGGATCTGCCTACAATCAACAAAAAGCCGACGCGACGACACAAAAAATAAAGCTCACTTTGAACAAGTCAAGCAGTTTATGCACTGCTGTTGAACCAACACAACTTTTCACTTCTTTGAAAACTTGATTCAATTTAAAAAAAAAATCTTCTGTTCTATTTTCACT